ACATAGCGTGTTTAAGTTGTGAATGATGTAACTTAATTTTCATGTGTCCTATGTTGTATCAATGATTGTTTTTGTTTGTCCCGTGTGTGTGGGTCAGGGCTGGTATGTGTTGTTTTTTTTTCTTTAAATGGAAAATGATAAAAAAAAAGAGTCCCAAAAAAAGAAGAACCACTTTTGTTTCCCTGAACAATCATGTTCTAAAACGAGATGTGTGAGAATGAAGAACCTTTTAAAAGTTTACATAATGTACAGGCTTTATATCAATTTAAGGGTTCTTCCTGGAACCTTTACATTATGTAAAGGTTCTTTACACTTTAAAAAGGTTCTTCACACTCTGTGATCTCATTTACATTGCAAGTTTTTAGGGAATCAAGTTCAAGGAATCAAGGGAAGTTTGTAGTGCATAAATAAACAATTACGTTTTTCTAGGCTTTCCTCTCTTAACTTCACCAAGGATTCCAATATGTCTGGAGGGCTCTGCATAAACAACATGCAAGTTTTTCTGATTAACCTTGAACTCAATATGAATCAAGTACTGGTACTTGAGGGTTAAATCCAAATAAAGGGAAAGACATAAAGCAAATATCATGACTCTTCATTATTCCGAGTGGCTGATTTTTTATTTTCCATCAAGGTACGCTGCCTCAGTGTTGGTGCAGTACATGACGTCCGCTAAGAGCTGTTTACCAGATGCTTATCTGACATTATCCTTCCTGATGCTAACCTGGCAGAAACCGTGTGATAATTCATACGCTTCACTTTGTTGACAGTAACACTATTTTGTGCCAACGGCCATCTGGTTGAAAGGGGAGAAAATGTCAGTAATTCCAGTCCTTTCACTCTGCCTCATCACAGTGGTATTCCAGTGATACTGGGATAAAGATCAAGAGTGACTTAAGTCTACTCATGAGGTTACACTTTTGGTCTCAAAAGGAAAGTGAAACGATTATGCTTGGATACGCTCAGCGAATCAGACAGAGGACGTGATTTATTCTATATGCATAAGTCAGCAGCATGTCTTACAACATCTTAATACAATCTTGATGGCTGGGTATGAGATATGACAGTGGTTTATTAGTAATGTACTGTTTCTCATGTATAATGTAGCAAAAGGAATTGAAGCTTTCAGTGTCGTTTTCTAATGTGGCTGGTAGGGGTGCGGGAAAAACTCGATTCTTAGATGCATCGCGATGCGGACGTGAACGATTCTGAATCGATTCATTCAACGACAAAAATCGATTTTCTAAATATTTAATTTATAATGTAATGTTGACGGAACGCAAAAGGCTGAACTGGAAGTGGGAAAGTGCAGCGCCCGGACGGTCTGTGGCGGCACATAACAAAAACACTACTGGAGGAGCGAGAAATTCAACTGGCTCCCTCTGCATTAAAAGCCAGGTTAGATCAGGGATCACAACCCAAATGATAAGAAGAGCCATTTTGCCTTTCAACGAAGTCAAACCACCTTGGGAGCCACAACATTTAATGTCCAGTATGTCTCAGTATGTGTTAATGTCGTAGTATGGGCTAAAAATATAAACGAGAGCGCAGATTTACTTCGCTCTGCTTTAAGCTTTAGCTTTAGCCGCTTTCCTCCGCCAGAAAACTTTTCTTCAAAACTAGAAGAGTTTCTTGTAAAATGTCTCAGCATGCGTCTGTTTTACGAGGCTGAAGTCGCTTCTCATTCGCCAGTTTCTCGTTCTAATTTTCCTGTTCCACCTTAAATTCTGCCTTAGGCGCCGAATGTAACTGCTGCACCATTTAAGGTGGAACGGGAAAATACGAAAGAGAAGCGAGTTCATTTTCGCAACTTTTTAGAGAAAGACAGTCTCTCAGCAGATTTAACCAACCGCGCTGCTTATAAATGCGAATAAGTGCTCCAAATGTTCGTTCACAGAGTGACTTGCAGCAGAGGTGGCATCCTATGACAGTGTCATCTTCAAAGTCACTGAGTTCTTCTGTAAGACCCCTTCTACTGCCAGGGTTTGTCCGTCGAGACTCCAAGGCTTAATTTTATTCACCAGTGGGTGTGGCAGAAACACCGGAACTAAATAATTGAGAGAGGTGTCCCATTATTTTTGTCCATATAGTGCAAGTGTGTGTGAGCCGGTTAGGCTTGCAATGATCAACTGTTGTGAGACAAAATCCAGGGTTAGATCAAACTAAGCTTAAAGTTAGCTGACTAAGCCATAAATTCTGCTTTGTCAGACAGGCTGCAGAGAAGTCCACCTCAGTCAAAAGGCCGTCCCCGATTGGTCCGAAGCTCTGCCCTGATTGGTTGAAGTGATATGTATATTTTTATGTATCTGATGTAGCCTGGTAAAAAGTGATCCACCATTTTGAGACAGAAAATCCAGGTTTAAGTTAAACTACGCTTAAAGTTAGCTGGCTAAGCAAGACGGCCCACGTTGTGAGCCAGACTTCTGGTCCTTCTTCAATGAACAGCAGCCTCAAAATTCTAAAAAAGGTCTCTCTAGAGAACCTACAGCAGTAAACTAGTGAAAGTTGCAAGATGACCTAGTTTGGCTGGAAACTGTGCCTTTGCACTGAAGGGCTTTTGGAGTAGCTTTTTTTTTTTGCATGTCCATTTTAGGCAGGTTTCCATTTTCGGGTTCTTCATAATTCATCACAGCGTAGAGTCATGACCCTTTTTTACTACATAGTCTTCAGTATGACAGCACACATTTCGGTTACATTAACAAATTTTTAATGAACAAAGAGCTGGCCTACTTAAAGAAGTGTCCTTAATGCCTGCACTACCATTTTGTAATGTTTGTAGTTGTCATATTGGTTTGTCTAGTTATCAGTTGGTTGGGGGGTTGGGGGGGGTGTATCAGGGAAAAGACTTTTTAATAGGGTTGCCACCTACCCAGGATTTCCCTGGATCATCCTGGATTTTGGTTGTGCGTCAAAGAAAAAAATTCCATTCCTGGACATAAAACTCACCTGAAGTTCAAACTGCTTTTTTATCCAATCAAACAACATGTATACAAAGAATTTCACTGGTTTGGATTACCCGCAAAATAGGGACAACTGTTTCATAAAGGTGCACCAGGCAGCACTGCAAAGGGATAGATATCTCTGTTAGAACCTACATCTCTGTACCTTAGACTGTGTGAGCACCGCCATCCATCTAGTGAATTTAGAACAAAAATCAAGCCACTAATCACGTGTTCAGGACCTTTTCAGGGCTGCGGTGGCAACCCTACTGTTTAATGATGAATCAAACTAAAGCTACATCTAATATTAGTGATCATTGGGCCCAAGCCAGACATTCTGTGCCGGTGTTTGTTATCCTGCAGCATGAATACTGCAGCAGTAGACTACTTTAGTGTACCGCCAAAAATGCTTACCACAACTGAACTCAAGAAAAACTGCAAGGCTGCACTAACTGTAAATTAAACAATGCAACCGCAGGACATTGCACCTAAAGCTATAACATGAAATGGCTTTTAGAGAACCGTATGAGACCTGTGCTACTCACACTAAGAACATTCATTTAAGCTCAGGAATGTTCTATGGTATTATATCAAAATACATTTCATGATGGACATTTTTTGATGCCTGAACACAATAACAGAGAGGATGAGCTCTACTCTTAAATAAAAGATCAGAGTCTCCATCTAGTGGCCACAAAGGTAACACACAAATATCTCAGTTAGTGCATCAGAACATTTTGCAAGAAGTGAAAAATGTTGAGTTTAAATACTAATTTTGTACATATTTTGTTAATTAGGTGACATCAGATAAAAATGACTTTTTACTGGTTTCTTGTAGCTGAGAACCAAATCCTAAATGGAGCTTAAATATTGCCTAAGGGTGACAGTAGCAGTAGAAGGATTACCAACAAACATTTTAAATAGTTTACAAAAGATTTTTTCAGTGTCTGTCCTTCATCTAATTGGCTTTGCCCTCTTTCTGTACAAAAAAGCTGAATATTCTTTCAAAACATGCACAACTTATTAAGATCTGGAAAATATTCCGTCCATTATTCACAGAGACATGCATTTTTCATTACAAAGACATGATGTGGAAGTCTTAAAAGAATTTCTCTGTTGAAAGAGCAAAATTTACAGCAATTTACCTTCAATACATATTAAAATTGTATTTCTTTATTAAAATGTTATTTCATCAATTCCATTTTAGTACCGAGCACAGAAAGACACATACATGTAGTTTTAGTTCACAGACTGACAGTGCTATCGAAGAGAGCTGGGCAGTGGAAAAGTAGTGATGGCTTATTATGGAATACACTGTTCTAAACGTTTTCAGTCACAAAGTAATGTAATTAGAATACATCATGATATGTCACATGGGAAACACTACTGTTTATTGAATTCATGTTGTTACTGGTTGACAGTTGGTGTAACTGAAAAATGTGTTCATCACTTTCAAAATTCTCTAGTTTTTTTGCTCTCATCACCTGCTTCAGTCAACTGCTGCTCCTACAATCCCCTAAGCCTCCTTTACCAGAAGGCTGTCTTACTTTATCTGGCATGTTTAGTAAAAGTGGGACAGTACCTAAACTCCATTTCGTCAAATAATTTTAAAAAATTGTTTATATTAACACATATGGCCAAATATGTATTGTGTACTTTTGCTAAACTGTACTATAAAATTAAAATCCATTAATAAATATCTTCTATAAACAGTTCCAATAAATCCCAACAAAACAATCTTTCAAGTTTGTCCATAAATTGCGAGAAGCTATGTTTTTTTCCAGGTAATGCCATATATGTAACATCATACTATGAAATTCCTGCATGAGTCCTTGTTTATACTGAAGAAACTCATTTCAATCATCCTTCAAAAGAGCTGAGATTAGAAGAACACTGAGATTAATAAATGATCATCACATTGATTTATCAGTCTACTCAGGCTTTAGCAGAGCTCAGTAACACTGAGATTAATAACTGATCATCACATTGATTTATCAGTCTACTCAGGCTTTAGTAGAGCTCAGTAACACTGAGATTAATAACTGATCACATTGATTTATCAGTCTACTCAGGCTTTAGTAGAGCTCAGTAACACTGAGATTAATAACTGATCACATTGATTTATCAGTCTACTGAGGCTTTAGCAGAAACTTCAGCATCAAGCCATTTGTTGGTTTCCTCTTTTGACTCCCTCCAATGATGTGAGCTACACACTGTTCACTGATTTAAAAGTAGTTAATAAACAAGCATGGGCAGTGTTTCTTTTAAAGATTGTGTTTTTAGCGGGTAAGTAATCTAAATGTATTTTCCTAAAAGTAGCTGTATTCTGAATACTGCTGATTCACAATGTAATGTGGACTAAATACAGATTCTTCATTTCTGTATTCTGAATACTTGCACATGTTCATGCACAGTAAAAAATATGGAATGACTATAGCTGACTTCAAAGGCTTTTTTCAAATACTGCTTAATATCATATTAAACACAAATACCAAGTTGGATTTCTCGGGTGGTACACCATATAAAGCTGGATTCCTATATATATATAATTCATTTAACTGGTTCAGTTAGGTGAAGACTGCTTGGTTGTGCATAGTCTAGCCGCTGTTGCATCAGAAGTTAACATTAATGCAAAATTTTGTGCGACCCTGAGATAAACTCAAAGTTAGTTGCAAGAGACACATTATGCATATTTAATATAGGTTATTTTTTATAGAATAAAACAATGGCCCATATCCGTCAAACAGCGCAGATATAAAAGGTGTAAACTGATCTCGGATAAGTTCATGCCTTTTTTAGAGCACTGAAAAGGCTTATCTTGGCTGAGACCTGATCTCAGATCTCTCATAGTGTTCTTACTCTGAGAAGCTTAATAAATATGACCCACTGTTACTAAAACATGCCTACGAATATGATTCATATCAGAAAAACGCTGGTATTAAAAGCATGAATTAATTCACACTGTGCTATTTTTCACAAAAGATCATTGATCTCCTTCCAGAAGCAGCTTCTTTATTGTTTTAAATATTCATCATTTTGGATGCTTTAAACCTGCTGCTGTTTTGTGATTTGCACAGTTTAAAGACCTAAAAATCACAGAAACAGCAGTAAAAATGTATCTCAAAAAAAGCTTGTGGTCAGGCACCTCCAAAAATCAGAAACAGAGTATTTTTTTAAATATTGTAAAAAAAATTTTAAGATTTTAAAAAAGATTTGAGTGAATAATAAGTACTATTTCTTGCATCTTTGTTAATTTCGTAGGAAACGTCAAATGAAAGCAGCCTGTCCAATCTTAATTTTTCATGTCTGATCTGTTCTTTGAATTATAAGCAGCAAAAATATTATTATATGATCAACAGTCCTATACAGACCAACAATTCCAGCAAATGATCATATGCCCATAGCTTGTTTGAACAGGCACATTCAATCAGATATAGAAGAAAAACATACAGAATTGAAGCTTCTCAGCTTCATGGTAAAGTCTCACTGCTGGACACATGGATTATATCAGAATAGTTAGTTGGCCTAACAAACCAACTTTGTATAAACAGGTGACATTCTAATATACATACAGGACAGAGACAAAAGTCAGAGAAAAAAGAAATGGTCCAGAATTAGCAATTAACACATTATTTGGATTAATGCACACTGAAGTTTTTTTTGACCTTCCTATAAAAGGTACCATACATATAGACGTATGTATGTACAGTCTATGTATGTGCATAATTAATACTGCATCATTTAACAGAAAATTCTACTTACTCCACCTTTAGGAGCTTAAATGATCCCACTCAGACACACTTCAAGCAGTGTTTTTCAGTCACTGAAGACCTCACTCCAGAACTGCGTGACCGTGAAGTTTCTATTCCTCAGTGCTAGCCGTCTCAGAGCTCTGGCCTCTTTCACTGACTGGTCATAACTGGCTCTCCAAAGGTGGCGCAAAGAGGAGCTGCTGGAAGGATCTACAGTGAAGTCAAATAGCTTCGGAGGTGGGCATCTTAGATGATCTCCCTCAGCCTGCCAGAGCCGCAAAGGTAGTCCCTGTCAGAGAATAGAGGAGGGTATATGAGACGTGTGCTGGCAGTCTCTAATAAACATAAGAAATCAGTTACACAACAGAGTTACAACTGAATCTCTAAAGTAAACAAGAAAGCGTTGACTTACACCGATCCTTGGTCATAAGGAGTTTTTAAACACTGTGTCCACTCGCTGTCCACTCTATTAGACACTCCTACCTTGTTAGTCCACCTTGTAGATGTAAAGTCAGAGACAATAGCTCATCTGCTGCTGCACAGTTTGTGTTGGTCATCCTCTAGTCCTTCATCAGTGGTCACAGGACGCTGCCCACAGGATGCTGTCCAGCAGGGACACTGAGGTGTTTAAAAACTCCTGATCCACTCAGACCAGCGCAACACACACTAACACACCACCTCCACATCAGTGTTACTGCAGTGCTGAGAATGATCCACCACCCAAACAGTACCTGCTCTGTGAGGGTCCATGGGGGTCCTGACCACTGAAGAACAGGGTAAAAGGGGGCTAACAAAGTATGCAGAGAAACAGATGGACTACAGGCTGTAACTGTAGAACTACAAAGTGCACCTATATAGTAAGTGGAGCTGATAAAATGGACAATGAGCACAGAAACAAGGAGGTGGTCATAATGCCTAATAAATGAGAAGGAAGGAAACCCATACATGGTCAAATTGTTCACCTCACATCTGGTATCTTAAGGGTGAGCTCCAAGGTCGTATACAATGATCCACTGTGGTGTTATCCCCTAGGCAGTCTCAGGATAAAACAACTGAGACACAGTTTACATCTAAAGGTGAAGGAGACTCCTTTAATTTGTACTACACTAACACACAAAACCTTCAGGGTCACACAGTTTGCACATACAGAGAGATGAAAATGAAAGTTCCCAATATAATATTGTGTGATTAACTATAAAATCAACTATAACAAGTGAAATTACTATTTCTGCCACCATACATGTAGAACAACTGAAAACATGTTGACATGGCAACAGCATGAATGTTGGCAGGTAAGCAAGGCAGTGTGTATACTGGAGCCATAATCTAGGATTTACAAAAGATGTTTATTTTTCAGGAAAATTTATATTGGATGCCTTAAGAGCCCCAACAGAAAAATCTATTGAGGTTTTGATGGCATTCTCAAAGTTTGACTTCCCTTAGGTGTTGTTACCGACTGCTAGGTTACACATTAAAGCTCCTTCTGTGAATGGGGTCAGGGAAGTATATCCACTTTACCATTCTACAGCCAAAGAGAATCTTTATGGATTGGGTAGCCTCTGGTACTACAGTTGAAGAAGTAGCAGCATTGCTGTCTCATAAGAAATTCTGGTTCTATGTAATAAAGAAAAACTGTACTTATGCCTTTTCTCTTCCATACTGCACTTATTTAATGCTACTGCATACTGGCTGATTTCCTACCTTGAGGTCATAGCTAGTTAAACTATGTCCCTCTTTCTAACTAATTGCCTTTCGCATCCCACACTAGCTGAAGAAAAGCAGTGACTTTTTCTGTGAGGGTAAGTTGAAATCACAGTATCCTCTTTGTGTAGGCCTCATATACTCATTACATTCCATTAGTGGAATGTAAATCAACTCAGATATTTTTTATTAATATAATCAAATAAAACATTGTTTTCTTGTAATTCTTTTATATGATTAACTAGGACACTGTTGGTACTCTGTGTGTGAATGTTGTGACTGTGTTAAGCTGCTAGTGAGCAGTGAGGGACAGAAGAGAAGGAGTGAGAACCTCCTGCTGTGAAAACACAGATCTCCACAGAGACGGCCATGCTGAGATAAAACAGACAGCACATCTGCAGCTTTTTAGACATCAGAACATTGTGTACAACTGCAGTAATACAAAGTAATATTTAAACTCAATAAATAATGTTGACTAGTTAGCTCCTCTATAAAAAAGAAAAATAGAGTTCGCTTCTGGTTTTGTAAACTACACTCACTTCCATTTTAATATACTCTTATCAACATTGCTGAAGAAAAAAAGGCACAGCTCACCTGAGGGGCCCCGAAGCCAGGTGGATATTGTATTCATATTTAGGACTACTATAAAGTAATTTCCCCATTTCCCCAAATGTAGTAAATCAGCTAAGCCGTGGTTGGTATCCAAAGAATGCTTCTTCAGTTTTACACTAGAGCTAAGAGGTTTATTTATCTAACAACTGATAGAAGCGTCATGTGCCACCCATTAGCACTGTGTAAACTGTGTAGCGAAAGCATACACTTGTCTAAAACTGCTTCAAATTAAGATGAAATAATCTCAAATAGGTTTTGATTTTCACTCTGTATGATATACTGTTATCTATAAAAATGTGAAAAATATGTACAAAATTCAGGCTTCAAGACATCCGATACTGTTTTTAGCTATGTTATGTACTTTAGTCCATTTTTAACAGTGCTTTACAGTCTCAGAGCCCATATAAATCAAGACTATTTGAGATTTCTTAAAAAGGAATTTCTCTGATTTTTCAGAATTTCTGCAGGATTTAGATAGGAACAAAGCCGTTCATGCACTCCGCTGTAGAACTTTCAGACGCAGAATTGCTCACATTGTTGATGATAGGAACCAGACATCTGAAATGTTGAATGGCTCTGAAAGCTACCTCACAGAAAGTTATTACATGAAACTGTTTTGAATTCGCTGCCTGAGGCCCGACACATGGGTTTTACCACTATTTTTGAGATATTGGGATAACTTTTTAATCTTGCAGGGTGTTGTGAAGCCAAATAGCCCCCAAAGAAAACAGTTTCCAGATTTAACACTATTTTAACATCATCAACATAACATATAAACTCAGAAGACATGCATAGGTTCATTAATCACTTTGGATAGTAAATAAAATGGCTATATTTATGTTGCAGACTTTTTGACCCCTGGTTCCTATCATCACCACTGTAAAGTAATCTGAGTCAAGTTTCTCTACAATGCACCATTTCATATCAAACAACTCTGAATGACTGTTTACATGTCAATGATTGAATTATGCAGAAATTTTGAAAAACTGTCAGAATTGTATAAATGTGACTTTTGCCTGAAGTATCAATAACTTCAGTAACACTGTTGATCAGTGTGTTACCTCATTTTGTCTGTTGATGTTCTCCCAGACTCTGTTACACACCATGCACTCAAAGACGTCAATAAAGTTATCCTGGGTGATATCCTGGACGCCCCACTTACGCTCCTTCAGTTCTGTAACAAGTCTCTGGTTAGAAACCTCTTGTTTCAGCTTCCAATCCAGGTATGTTAAATACTCCCAGTCATTCTTGTCCAGCCTCTTCAAATACTGGGCCAGCTTCTCTGGGGGTTCATTAGGGTCGACCACAATGGCACTCCTGTTACTCGGCAGCCACATGTGAACATTAGGGGCTCCATAGTACACAGGGACCACTCCTAGCTTGAGTGGCCGCCACAGTTTCTCAGTGATGTAGTCATCACAGATGGCATTTTCAAAGGCTAGGATGAACTTATACTGGGCTAGAATCTGGTAGAAGCTCTGCTCCTCCATGGCTGTAGAGTCCCTCAAGTGGGAGGGAAGATCCTTGTTGTGCAAGCACTGGCCATAAGAGTCCACTTGGATGTGCTTCATCAGCTCCTGCACATAGACGTCTCGATCTGAAGGCGGATCGCAGTCTGACTGCACGTAGATCACAGGAGCCAGAGTGTGTCTCAGGTGGTTCTTCTGAGCAAGGGGCAGCAGAAACGTGTGGGAGGTCAGTAGTCGAAGGCTCTCCAAGTGCTGGGTGGTGAGTGGGAGGTGGGAGAGGCGGCTGAACGTGGCTGTGTGGTTGAAAAGGGTGACGACAGGTTTGTGGAAGAGCTTGTAGTTGTTTTTGGGAGACTCCTCATGGAACAGAGCCCAGTGGTGGTGTTCCTTCCTTGGCAGAGGGAGACTCTCAATGTTGAGGTCTGTACCTTAAAAGAGGAAAGAAAGCAGTAGAAAGTAGGGCCCAATAAATACATCACTTGGCCATTAAATGTTCTGCAGCAACAGAAAAAATCCCAACGATAATGTTCTTACATTAATACATTTACTTGTTTGGTTGATTTTCAAAGTCAAAATAAGTTAACACTAGGAAGAAAACATACTTCTGCACATTTTAGTGCGCAATTGTTGTTTATTTGCTTCATTTAACAAATTGACAAATTGACTTTCTTCTGGGTGGGAGTTGTTGGAGAGTTGCTAATGTAACACCTAGGTGGCTGGAGGGGGCTGGTGGTGGGCATCTGGAGTGGCCAATCAGATTTTAGGAAGGCCACCCCGACCACCCCCTTAAAACTGTGCATTATATGTAGCTCTTAAAGGCATTAAATGGTTCGGATGCCTGGTTCCTATCACCACCACTGTGAACAATTCTGACTTTGAATTTCTCTAAAATGACACATTTCACATCAAACCACTCTCAATTACTTTGCTTACATCTTAACATTTTAATTATGCATAATTTTTTGAAAAATCAGTGGAATTCCCCTTTAAAATCAGCATGAGACGCAAACCACTGGTACAATCAAACCCAGTTTCAGAGCTTTTTAGTTAGCTTGTATAAAAACGTTTATAATTAGCACATTAATTTTGTAACACATTGTTTGCATGATCACAGATTATAAATGCCATACTGTACATGTAGGGAGTTTATAAATCAGTATACAGTGATTGTACTTCATAAACTATCCTAGCATTGCACATGTTCACCCCAGCAGGGCCAACACAATGGACTGACCTAAAAGCAGTACCCCGAGCATCTTCCACTGTGAAAAGCTACATACCAGCTTTGCTCCGTCTCATTAACTTCATCATTAGCTTTGAACAACAATGAAGCTTTAACAGCAAAAACTTTCAAAAGGAGCAGTTTTGCCTTTGTTACAGTTGCCATTAAGTGTATGGTTCCTATGGAAACTGGTAGGAATAAAGCCACCTCCATTCGCTTTAAACTCTCCCGACAAGTTTCTCCAAGGGGGTCTCATTCAGACGATATGTCATTTGTATTAGTGGAGCTGCAATAGTGTCACTTGTCTATTTTTGGACTTGAACAGAGGACACGGCATCAGGTTAGTTGGCTTGCAGCAGTCGTCCACAGTGCTCTGACAAGTGCCTCTTATCTCTGTAATTCTGTATAAACTCCCCCTGGAGATCAGAATCACTTGAATGACGCAGAGTGCTGTTCTTTTTCTCGGTCGTTCAGGAGAAAGGATGGACTGTAAACAAACGGCGCTGTATATATTATAAAAGAAAATCTGACAGAAACAGCTACTGTGTTTTAATTGCCAAAAAGTATGCAAAACCTTGGGTGAGGCAGCAGTTAAATGTTTGGAGTAAAATGTTTTCCTAAAACTCCCAAAAAGACATAGCTGAACAGACTTGATGCTTATGGTGCAGTAGTAATTGGTCCCAAAAAGCACGTTTCCCCACTGAAGCCCTGAGGAATGAACTAATTACATGCTTTAGCCTCAACATTCAACTATCTTCTAAGTGTTGCTAGCGATTAACACATCTAGCTGGGAAGGGCATATCAAATTCCCTTTTACATCCAGAAACATAGAGACATATAACAGGGCATATTTTAAATCTTCCACATCTGTCACACTGTCAATTACCATGAACAGTAGACCTCTGAAGTTGTGTCATCATTCTGTAGCTGGTTTCATGCCCATATCAGTAACTCAGGGTCTAAATTTCTCTATGACAAAAATTAAGTTAAGATTAGATTAAGTGACCCTTATCAGTCCCACAAAGGGGGAATTTCACCTCCACAATCTAACCCATCTGTGCAGTGAAACACCACATACACACTAGTGAACACACACTAGGGTGCAGTGAGCACACTTGCCAGGAGTGGTGGGTAGCCCTATCTGCAGCGCCCAGCAGTCGGGGATTAGGTGCCTTGCTCAAGGGCACTTCAGTCACATACTGTCGGCTCATGGGATCAAGCTGGCGACCTTCCGGTCACAAGGCTGGTTCCCTAACCTCCAGCCCACGACTGCCCCCAAATTAAAGAAGTTCTCAAAAATCATAATCAAAAAAGCCGCTACGTTTATACGTATGTATATTTATTTGTCACAGGAGGTATTAAGGAGTCAAAACACGACTATTGCTTCATACAAGCTAACACTGTTGCACACTGATTTGACATCTTAAAATTCACTAAACCTCACACAAACCGCTATCTTTGTCAAATGTGGTAGTTAAGCTGCTTTGGCAGTTCTAGGTGCAGTTTGAGTAGCTACTGTTGAAGTTAAATAGTAGAGTTACCTTCATGCAAGGTCATTTCAATGTGCAGGAGCGTTAGTTTGCTTGTAGCAGGTATGCAGCATTTTTTATTTTTTGACTGCTAAACAACATCGTAATTCAGAGGATCCAGCGACACTCGTCGGGGGGTGAAATGTACACAGGACAAAACAGTCTGAGCATTTTTGCTCTCCACAGGACATAAAAGCAGCGATTTACCAGGATACCTTTTTCTCATAGAGAAACTCTTAAATCCAGAGTTCTTAATATGGAAATGACTTCAGAGATCTAGCACTGTGTTACATTTCCCTGTAATTAAGGATGTTTTCAAATCCATTGACATGAAATGCATTTAGCTGCTGAGTTCCATAAACGAAGATTTGAAATAAATCATTATATAGCACAAATTTGCTACTATGACGTTACGCTCTCCGGGCTGTCACCTTGCTTTTTTCTTCGTTGGGGTGGAGCGAGTACAGGTGGTTAACTGCTTAGCTGTAAGCAGCAAACAACATTAAGTTGACTGAGGAGCAGTTCCTGCATTTAGATTTTTTCAGAAAGAAGGTCCCATATTTTCTATTGCTCACACTTCTGAGATCGTTAAATTTGCAGGGTTAAAGTTCACCTGGGTGAAATTATCTGCAACTGAAATTAACTGCTTTTGTGTGTCATCATGCCCTTTTCCCATTTAAGTGAATTGGCTTTTCCACCAGGCAAATTTAACCCATGCAGTGTTACAGCAGCTTAACAACAGTTATTAAACAAAATTCTTGTGACTGTATGTAGTTTTGTTATAAGTTTGGGGGAGGAACATGTCTGAAACCCTTTCTTCTTCCAATCTCACACCCTATAAATTCACATCCTCACCTTCTGTTCCCATGACACAGGGTTCACAATCCCAACACCACCCCATCATCTCCCTGTTCCTCAGTCCTACATCAGTCCTACTACAGTTATGGGAGGGTCTGGCCTTCAAGCTACAGACTAAAGCTGGCCAGAACTCCAGCTCAAGTTCTCAGAGTTCTCCCCTCCCTAAATCAGTCATCCCTCATACTACCACCACATGCTGAAGATGACCATGAAGGTATGGTCTGAACTCACATATGCTTTCTGTAAGGTTTTCTGGTATCCATGCAGCCTGTGACTATACCTAAAGCACTACACTGGTAATGCATTACCACAAATTTGTCCCTCTGGAAAATCAGACCCATCTATGAAAGAATGACTTATACAAATTTACAGCAGGTTGTCTGTTCGTTTATAAGTATGGAGAAAACCATCAAAATTACCATCTATTATGATCAGCCACACACTGCAGTTGTGGCAGAGATTGGACTGAAAAGGCTGCAGTGTTTCCATCTTTAATACAGTGACCATATACGACCACACACATTTCAGCCATTTGTATTCTGCTGAGAGGTGAATTAATCTGAATCACTACGGTCCTGGCAGAGGGTAACGGTCTAACGCAGATCCCCCCCCACCACTCTCCCCAGTCTGCGAGGTGAGATAATTAGTTGATTCAAGAGTTTCAGTGCTCAGCTCAAGGCAGAGCTTGCAAAGGCTGCAGCCCTGAAAGCTGCAGGGTCAGCCAAGCCAGGATTAACTTTCCTGTGGAGGCCAAAGACTTTCCACTAAAACCGCCACAAAGACAGTGGGAAGCTAATGAGCAGAAAGGATTGTGATGAATTTTGCAGGATATAAGAAGTCATTTAGCAGTGGGAACTCTTGGGGGATAATGTTCAAGGGCATTTGTGAATGACTGGGAGAAGACAGAGCTCAAATGAATTTGCTGTTTCATATTTTTGCAAAAAAAAAATCCACTCCTGGACCAACACTGCTCCAGCTCAGATCTCAAAAACCTTTGTAACTACTTTTAATGCTGTTTTACACCTCAAGCTCAAAATACAGTCCATTCAGCCAATGAAAAGTGCTCCACCAGGGTCTGCCCACCCAGTCTCCATGGTAACGACTGTCCCTATGCCATGTGTTTGGAACATGAAGGCTCAGTTTAACATGTCCACTACAATTTATATGTTAGTTAATGCAACTCGAATGTAAAGTAGCCTAATAATTGATAGCCAGATAACTAGCCTGCTAATGTCAGCCTTTCATTGTGAGCTAGATATCTGAATACAAATGTATCTAATGTGAAAGTAACTGGACACGGACTGGACAGAGCAAGATTTTGTTACGTTCTCTGAATTGTTCTTAACAAATGTTCTCCAAAGTAAATGGTATCATCTGTCCTTAAGAAAAATACTGGTAAATAGGTTTGAAGGTGTTTAAGTATGTTTTTGTACTGTTTTTGTATGAGGGAATCCCCAGTTTTTAATCAAAGCATCAATGATTATAAGGTCTATAATCCAAATGTCTAGGCTGGATACCTTAAATTTATTTGCAACAATCAATCAAAAATACTGCTGCCAATCTACGGTTAGCAACATGCACAATGAGTGTTTTTGTTCTTTCAGTTAAGGTCAGAGACCCCTGATGTGAAGTACAATTAAGCCTCTTGAAATCTCCTATCATTTTTAATGCAGAAATGGCACTAGATTTAAGCATTTATTGGTTGATTATAAATTGAATGAATGGAAAGGCCAATTTAAAGTGTTTTTCAATGTGAAAATGCACCAGAAACAGGCATAAGCCCCCCTCCACTCTTCTAGGAAGGCTAGAAGATTTTGGGTGTGTCTGTAGAAATCTGCACCCATATAGACAAAAAAGCATTTGCGAGGTCAAGTATTGATGTTGGACAAGAAGGTTCTGGCTCACAATCGACATTGCGGTTCATCCCAAAGGTGCTGAGTGGACTTGAGGTTAGGGGTCTGTATAGGCCACTGGAGTTCCACCGCAAAAAAAATAGTCAAACCATGTCTTCATGGGCCTCGCTTTGTGCATAGGGCACAGTCATGCTGGAACAGGAAAGGGCCTTCCCCAAACTGCTGCCACAAAGTTGAAAGCATATAATTGTCTAAAATGTCTTTGTATGCTGTTGCACTAACAATGCTGTAGCATTAACAGTGTGCATAGTGATCTTAGTCTGCTCAGCCATGGAAAGCAATTTCATGAAGCTCCCAACACACAGTTCTTGTGCTGATGTTGCTTCCAGAGGCAGTTTAGAACTCTGTAGTGGGAGATGCAACAGAGAACAGGCCATTTTTACTCGCTACAAAGTGGTTCCACTCTGTGAGTTTGTGTGGTCTAGGGGCTGTTGTTGCTTCCAGGTGTTTCTGTTTCACAATAACAGCATTTATAGTTGACCGGGGCAGATCTAGCAGGGCAGAAATTTCACGAACGGCACTGTGGCAAAGGGGGCATTCTACTGACACTGTGTGTCTAAGGAGATTGCATGATTATGTGCTTGATTTTATACACTTGTTAGCAATAGGTGTGGCTGAAACACCTGAACTCAATAATTAGGATGGGTGTCCACATAGTGTATATACCAGTCTTCTGTAATACTACCATGTAATCCCATATTTTAACCATGGTATTTTTGTAATGCTAAAAATTTCCATGTGCATCTTGTCCAGGTGTGCATTTTCTTCAATGCTCTGCTGTGACTTCTGCTGTGCAATGTGTGAATCTGTCAGTCATGTCAATCTGCCAAAAGCATCAGGTGGCAATGCAGAGAAAAACAATGTGATCAAAAGCCCCTGTGGGCTAAATGAAAAGATGCAGACTATTATTTTCACACCTGAATCCTGCACTCTCTCTGACAGATGAAGTAAACTATTTACTGTGGATTATTTTATTGAAACCCTTCTCCTTTAGGAAGGCAGAGAGCCTGAAGGATCTTAAGGTGTCATGATACTTGAATGCAATTCACAGTAAATGCAGTTTTTATTTCCTGATGCTTTTTGTAAGAATGTGTTTATAAATCAGGGTACAGAAGTCCCAGTGTCACCCTCCACACAGCCAGTAAGGGATTTCTGACTGTTTATCATTCAATAAGACAAAGATAAAGAACAGAATGTGAATGTCACACAGACTTTACCATTCAATGCAGTGGTGTCTGTAGCTGCTTTGCTTAGCTTGACTGTATGAGAGCAGAGACATTGCAGTGTTTTTCCCCCAAGACCCAAAGCTGCTTTCTCTGACACCTGATGCCGTGGTTTGAGAATGTGCTAAAATGTACAGCGTAATATAGGCTGTTTTTTGTAGGATATCTGCCTGCAGCACCAAGAGTATTCAACTAGCTCAGCTGAACAACCGCATTTCTAGAACAATCTCATCTTTACTAGGTACAATAAATGTGGTATTACAGTAGGATACCACATCACTCAACATGTTTAAAAGTTCAGTTATGTTCACATGTGGGAATACTAGTGTTTTGCTATGGCTTGCATGAAACAAATAAATCAATAAATAAACAGTGTGTTGTAAAATGGGCAGTAAATGGGTTTTAACCATCATAGGGGAGCTGTTAACATGGTAACATGGCCACCGTGCACAGGCCAACCTCACAATATATTTTCCAGAGCACATCACAGGTACTGTTGGTATCAAAAATACTGGCCAACTGCATGCATCATAATTCTATATTTTATTCTAATTCATTATTCTATTGCCATTTTAAATCAAATATTTGATTTTCCTTTCTTTTTAAAAAAACTTGGCAATGTTTTGCTGGTGCATTGTGTCCGTTTCAACTTGTTAGTAAACTAAATCTTGTCAGAAAAACCCTCATTAAATCTCAAAAAAATCTCATTCTATTTATTTATAATGTCTATCTGTACATTACAGTAGAACCTAAAATAGAACAACGCTCAAAAATACTGCACAATGTCCTGAGGTTCAGATACAGTGTCACTCACCATAAAACAGGAAGGCATGTGTAGAAGGATGAGAATGGTAGGATTTGTTGATGGTGAAAAAGCATCTGTTGTTGCCACACTCCCCAAGCCGCCCCAGCTCACCGGTCAGTGGAGACCACCACACTATAAAGGGGTACCAGTCTTCAGAAGCAGCAGATAACCTCTCTTCAGTGAGCACACCGCTGTCTGCGAAGGGCTGGATTTGTGTTAACTCTTCTCTTTCCTTAAGGGGGAGTCTGTGTGCTGCAAGTTCAAACTGGCCCAGCTCCTCCACAACCTAATCACAAATATAAAAGCCATGAGGACATACTGAAAACGGCAGATCTTTATAATGACTTTGTATTCCTTTTCAATGTACACTTGGGTGGACGCATGCAATGGAATGGGCTTGACGTGCAGGCAAACAACTGGACATGAAATTATCCAGTACTGTTGTTCATAAAGGCATGAAACATCCAAAAACAATGTTTAAAACCAAAATGCTAATGAAAACTCATAGTGTATGGAATCGCCATATTGTTAAAGTGGTGGTTCAGCCAAAAATCATATTCATACAATTTTCTCCAGAACCTAAATGCAATCAGCCATGGCATGTTTGGTGTCTAAATTTTGATTCTAGCCACCAAGTTAACAAATTAAATCAACACATACTTGACTCAAACCACATCAACCTGTTGAGTAATCTCAGACTAGCTTATGTGGTTTTTAACGCTGGACTACAAAAGTATGGACAAAATGTATGCTTTAAGATGGTTGCGGCATCCATTTTATAGATAACAGGATGCTATAAAAGTGTCATAAACCACACAAGTAAGACTGAGATTAATAAACATCTTTACACAGTGATGATTTAGGCAAGTGGCTGTACTATGTGAACTGGTGCATAGCTTTCATTACTTGTTTGCTATATTAGCCTCATAGCTGTAGTACAAAACTAAAGAAGCATACTTCAGACACCAAACATGTCTTGGCTGGCTGACGACATTTGGGTAAGAGAAAAAAAATTACGTGAAATAAATTTTTGGCCAACACATCATTTTAATCTACAGTAGAAAAGATCCTGAGATCCTGAGATCCTAAGAATTGGCAGATGGCAAAATGCAATGTGGAAACATGCCCCAACCCAACAGAAAAAACACTAACCTATGTGTAGGCTACAGAACATAGTCAAACATAACTGTTACATTTGGCTACAGTGAGCCATTTCTTTCAGAACTGTTATAGAAAGGAGGAAAGGTGATGAGATGAAGCTTGTTGTGGTTAGAGGGAAAGATTAAGGAATACCAGTAATGAGGGGAAGGACAAGCTTTCATCCAAGAGTTAGTCAGTTAACCCTGGGAAACCATTACACAACTGTACCTGCAAATAAGAAAACATTATGGATGTACAGCAGAGATGGACGAATTGATAGAGAAGCATTAAAACTTCCAGTCTTCATATTTCCTTTCGAGAATTGATTCTTACATAAAAATAAAGATGGCAAACTTTTCTTAAAGACAGGGAACCTAAATCTGTTTTCTTTCTAATTAGGTTAATCTTGCTCTTGCAGGCAAACAGTAAACATGTACTAAGTACACCCTCGAATAATGTACCAATGACCAATAAATGACCTATATATTTCAGCATATTTCTCTCCTCTCGATGTAAACTGTGCAGTGTCCTAATCTTGGGTAGTGCTTCCCTCAGCATTCCCTTTACCAATCACAGGGCTAACGTCTCTTGCCCTGCCCACACAAGAGTTTCAGAGTCAGAGAAACTTAGCGAGCTAATGCTAAGCCAGCTTACCAAAAAGCTAGCAAGCTAGACCACCTGTTGTTTATCCATACACCAACATTGGGCCTCATTCAACAATATCTTTTTCCTTAAATTTGTTCATAAGAAAGGACTTAAGAAAAAGTCTACATCAGATTCATGACATATTTTTAAACCGCAGAATTGTTCGCACCTTTGTAGTTATGAGTGTGTGCAGATTCTGTTCTTAACAGAGAAAACACTGCTTAGTGTCTCTTTGTGAAAACTGCGTAAAATGGTTTTAAGAAGAGATTTCTTCCTAAATACGGTTGGTGGATGAGGCCCATTGTTCAGTCCTCCATTTTCTTCATCTTTTTTGTCCAGTTACCATCACATAAAAGCTGGACATAAAAGCTGGTGGTGGAGCAGGATAGGAGTGTTGGACAGAGGGCTGTCAATCAAGCTACTCAACACTTAAGTTTAGTATGATACAAACATTTTAATAATTTATTCTGTGTTTCCTGGGACTAATATGAAAATTATGAGGTGATTTTAATATTTTAACACACATACAGACTTAAGACTGGACAGTTTAGCTAAAACTACCCTCTTAAAAATAAGGTAACCAGAACAGTTCTTTGGTAATGCCATAGAAGAGCCACGTTTGTTTTCCTAGTTTTTCAGTGGATGATTCTTTAAAGAACCATTTTTGTAAGTTTCTATATCAATTAGCCTAAAGATTTTTTTACTGAACTATTCATTAAAGCCAATAACTTTTAGCAATCTTTCTTTTTACTGAAAATACTTTCTCATATATTTTACTGAAGTCTGCATTTAACATCTTTGCCAGAGAGGACTTTTATTCCTAGGCTGCAGGTCTCTGTGTGTATACACAGGCCTTAAAGCGACACTGACTCGGTCATCAGCTGTGAGAAGAGCAGGAAAGACTGAGAGGAGGAAGATGTTCAGTTTCTACTTTACATCACTCTCTGTTACTGAGATATGGCTGAGTACCAAATAACGGCCAGTCCACCCTCAAACTTCAGCCACACGCCACACCTAGAAGTTGCCCTAAGAGTAGCGGAACGTGTTACAGTCTTATAACGAGAAATGTTCAGTTACCTGAAAAGTTATAATGAGAAAAACGAAGGCTGAAAGGCAGAGGCACAGAGCAAAGAGCTTCCTGACAGAAAGTCTCGCCATGTTAAGAATCCAGCTCGTAGGAAAACAGTCAGAGCGATGAAAATCATGATTCACTTCGGGTTTGGCGCTGAAATTTCACAGCAGAGCGCGTTGTTGCTCTGGACATTGCTCAGTCTGGATGTTCTGTGTTGATGCCGTCCGGCCATTTTCCACTCTTTGCCTCCAAACTTCCTGCTCAGGAGCCCCAGTCTGAGTACAGCTGACCCTCTAAACAATGAAGTCCCGCCGCCGGAGGGAGGAGCCAGCACTCTCCCTCTGAGCCAGCGCGCTCCACGGGCTCGGTCCTGAACAGAGCGCAGCTCCCTGCTCCCTGTTCCCTTGCTGTCTGGGTCCGTCTTATAATAATATAGATTGGTTCGTGTCAATACCTAGTGAGCTGCGTTGCTGCCTACTCCCTACATAGGCAGCTGATTTGGCAACTTGGATCTTTTCTCATGCAATTAGAATGGCTGTTTGAATTTTCTCTCCTGTAATCTGACTGGCTGGTTGAATATTCCTCCTTACAATCTGATTGGCCAGTTGAATTCGATCTCATGTATATGACTGGCTGGTTGTATATTTATTCGTGTAATCTGACTGGCTAGCTGAATTTTCTCTCCCGCAATCTGATTGGCCGTTTGAATATTCTTTCTTACAATCTGATTGGCTAGATGAATTTTTCTCTCATATAATTAGATTGGTTATTTTATTTTATTTTATTTTTCTTCCTGCAATCTACTTGTTAAGTTGAATTTTCCCTCTTATAATCTGATTAGCTGGTTAGTTGCTTGGTTTTGTTTAAATGTAGAATTGTTTTATCTCAATACCTACTGAGCTGCCTTGCTGCATACTCCCCTGCATAGGCAGCTGATTTAGCTAGTTGAATCTCTCGTCATGCAATGAGATTGGCTAATTGAATTTCCTGTCATCTGATTGGCTACTTGAATTTTCTCTTCTGCAATCAGATTGGCTAGTTAAATTTTCTTTCCTGTGATCTGATTGGCTAGTTAAATTTATTCTCCTGCAATCTAATTGACTAGTTGAAATTTCCTCCTGGAGTTTGATTGGCTTGTTGAAATGTCCTCCTGCAATCTGATTGGCTTATTGAATTTACTCCCCTGCTTAGGGATCTTTGGGCCATGCTGTCTCACCTTAGTGTGGAAGTGCTTCTTCCTCCAAAGGACAATGCTGGACTCATTTCTCAACTTAAATTGATCTGAAACTTATTGAATTTGCCTTAAACGGATACCAACCGGTGTGACTAAAATATTAAAGGACAAATGGCAGCAACCCAAAATCACCGCCAAATGCTCAGGACAGCCAGTCCATCCTGCCAACAGTTAAAAGCACAGATTTATGGCGATCTGGCACGGCTGTGAGAGTGGAGCTCATTTTAATATGACGGTTTTAAAGCTGATGTAAAAGCTTTGGCTCCCGGCTGCTCAGCCGAACACCTTAAACAGAATCTTGCAGATTGGAAATGGGAAGAGAAACCTGTTACCTACAAAAAAGTAGATGTGATTTATCACAGAGGCTTTAACATCCTGTCCTTCAAATACAGTATGTGTGATAATCCATTCATACTGATGACGAAATGTAAATATTGTGTTTTTCACAAGTATTTCATGCCTGTCTGTTCATGTGATTATACTAGTGCTGAGGTACCCGTGACTATAGACTATACCAGAATCAAAGAGCTTTTGTGTGTGTGTGTCTACTTCAGTAAGCACTTCACAGGAGAACACACTGAGTCATACCTGATCACCTCCATGGCAACGACAAAAACCTCAATTCGGCTCTCTGTTTCTTTTCATGTTTCCAAGAAGCGATCATTTATTTCCAAAGTCCAAATCAGAAAATTCGCCACAACACAGCAGATGAAAAGATCATGTTCACCTGAAAAAAGAAATACTGCAGCCTGCTGTCAGCAGATAACCTCCCTAAAGATAGAAAAGAGAGCTGACTGTAGTCTGTTTCTCACAGACACAGTCAGTTCGACCCACCCTCAAACATGCTTTTCATAACAACTGCTCACCGGCTTCACAGAACACTACCAAAAATCCCACTCAGCCAAATGATTTAGGCTGGAGATTAGATTCACTACATAACAACAGGCTTCAAATTGTGCCCTATCGAGCTACCCTATCAAGCTCGTTGTTGTTCAAGGGTTCTTTAATAAAGAAAATATATAGAACTGTGAACGCTTTGCATGATTAAAGCGTTCATTGCATCATGAAAGGGTTCTTCAGATTGATGGTGGATGTGTTTTATATGGTTTGATATAGAACCTTTTTAAAAAAGGTTCTGTATAGCACTAAAAAAGGGTTCCGCTATTCTTACAAGGTTGATATCATAACAACAGCACAACCCTTTTCTGTGCTTTTTTTCAAAAAGGTTCTATAAAGGACCATCTACAGCACACTCTCAATCTGAAGAACCTTTTCATGATGCAAAAAACCTTTAAATCATATAAATGTTTCTTTGAATGTTCACAGTTCTATGTGGGACCTTTTTCTTTACTAAAGAACCCTTGAAGAACTTTTTAAAGTGTCTGGCTAATCGAAAGTAGGCTAACTGGCAATAATGGCAACAAATTTGCCACCACACTAATGTTAGCTCAGTTACACAACAGCAGACTACACAACCTCCTAACATCACCTTCCACACACATACAAAAGAAACATCATTTGTAACAAATACCAGTATCTATTTTTCTGTATTTTGACCAAACTGAGTTATGTGCTGTTATTAGGTTGAACGAGTTTTTGCCAGCGTTCTGTAAAGTTTCTCACAGTAGGAATGGGCGGATTGATACTCAGGTAGCAGTACTTTCAGTCCTCACAGTCCTCCTTCTGTTTAGAATTGATCTTTATTAATATTGATACCAAGTGTTTTCTTTATGCAGTAATTTTGCTGTATATTTTTGATGAAATCGAATGTGTATTTGATACTGAACAAAGTGAAAAAGTAGCAAATGAATGCCTAGAATAGGAACTACTTTTCCCTTCACTCTCTTTAGCTGCTCCTCATATACAGACAAGCATACAGTTATTGGCCTAATATTAGGTTATTTTAATTATTTAACATGCCTAACATGGTGGAGCCATATATCAGCTTAGATTGGACAGTTATAGAGTAATATATTTAAAATACTATTTTGCTGAATGAGTCATTTATCAATGTTGAAATCACAATGATTCACTGTAGAATCACACATACTCTTTCTTTTTATGTGTAAAAGCAGCAGTGTTGCTACAGGTATGCTAGGTTTTACCCTATCAGTTTGAAAAGAAAATCAGTGGTGCAACAGCTTAAGAATGTCTAGATAACTGGTAGCTTTGCTGAGCAAGGTTAAGCTCCGCATGTTTTGGTTGCTTTTTTAACCATACTTTTAATCATCTTGTATCAGCATCTTCTGCAAATTTGGACAGCAGTAAAATTGTATCAACTAAAGAATTAAAAAAAAATTCCAGGTTGCAGCCTCCACACAGCGGGGTTAGTTTTAACACAACTAAGCCTCCCAAAGTAAACAGTGAGGGAGGTCAATATTCACCCATATCAATTTAAAACTGTTCATTTTTTTCAAGGTGTTATGTGTTGTGCTGGTACGAGTGGATCAGACACAGCAGTGCTGCTGGAGTTTTTAAACAGTGTCCACTCACTGTCCACTCTATTAGACACTCCTACCTTGTCAGTCCACCTTGCAGATGTAAAGTCAGAGACAGTAGCTCATCTGCTGCTGCACAGTTTGTGTTGGTCATTCTCCAGTCCTTCATCAGTGGTCACAGGACTCTGCACACAGGACGCTGTTGACTGGATATTTTTGGTTGGTGGACTATTCTCAGTCCAGCAGTGACACTGAGGTGTTTAAAAACTTCAGCAGCACTGCTGTGTCTGATCCACTCAGACCAGCACAACACACATTAACACACCACCTCCACATCAGTGTTACTGCAGTGCTGAGAATGATCCACCACCCAAATAGTACCTGCTCTGTGAGGGTCCACGGGGGTTCTGACCACTGAAGAACAGGGTAAAAGGGGGCTAACAAAGTATGCAGAGAAACAGATGGACTACAGTCTGTAATTGTAGAACTACAAAGTGCACCTATATAGTAAGAGGAGCTGATAAAATGGACAATGAGCGTAGAAACAAGGAGGTGCTCAGAAAGTTATGCCTGATCGGTACACAACAGTGATATATATATATATATATATATATATATATGTGTGTGTGTGTGTGTGTGTATATATATATATATATATATATATACTACAGCTCTAAGTTTATGTTTTCACTGTAGAAATCTGCAGGTTGTTCAGGCAGGTTCATCAGGAAAAGCTGACAAACTCAAGCATCCTAAGCTTCATTTGTGAGTGTGACCTTTGTGCTGCAGGGAAGACATTTGGCCAAAAGGCAAATAAAAGGCCAAATGAATCACTTTGGCAGTAATTAGCAGTCATTACATGAGCCACAATCTCAGAATGGTTTGGTTAATAATCAATGTGAAGAGCACTTCATGGAGATGATTAGAAGATTAGTTGATAAAAATAAACAATAACAACAGTCCATCATTTATCTAGACTATAAAAGTGCAAGGGGTCTGACTTTTTATGTTCTATGGGCTTTTAGAGGCTGTAAGAGATCAGCTGGAACCATTATTTATTTGAGAGTTAAGTGACATTTATTCCTCTTTTTACTATTGTTTCTAAAGCGACTTTTCAAGAAAATCCATCTCTTGTCAAATTTGTGATATGTTTACTCAGACACAGTATTTTGACAGGGTTAAATATGCAGATTTCTTTTGTTCTCTTATTATTTTATTATGAAGTTACTGTGGCCGTAGAGGAAAGAGGAAAGAATTATGCAAAACATCATTTTGTGGAAGAAAGAACTTCATGTTTTATTATTGTTGCTCATTTATCTGTAAGAAGAGCCTTTTAGATTTGGTTGCTATTGGCAACTTGTGTAGGTGGCAACAAGTTGAATTGTTAATTTATTAGATGAATACAGTTAAAACAGCTGATTAACAGAGACCAGATTAGACCTGGTTGTTACCAATTAGTTTGGGGGTCACTAATTTGCCTCTTAGGTTCTGCGACGGGTTATTTTACATCAACGTGAAGAAACTGCAACAACGTAATTTTCAGATTTGCCTGTTATATGACAAGCAACTCAGCGAAAGACAAAAGAATAAGACATGATATTAACCTCCAA